CCAATACAACTTTGCTTATGTGGCACGTATTTAGTGAAGAGAGAGGTGCTTGTGGTAACTAGCTAAGTTACCGGAACATCACACACTCCAAAAAACAATGAGTCTATAACCTAATAAATACATCGTTGCATGACACTACATAAATGTTTCTACCCACTATGGTGGTAGTAACATAGTCTAGAGAAGTGTGAAGTTACTAGCTTATGTTCTTGCCCATTGTGACCAGCCTAAGGAGCTAGTTAGAAGTGTATTAGAGTCGAGATTAGCTAGGAGTAGTACTACTAGTGTGTAATGCACAGGAATAGCCGGAGGAGATTTGTGGTGGCACGCGTGGAGTCGGACAACCAGCGTGGGATGTCCGGCGGCTGGCATGTTAGCCTGTGGTGATGCGGCGCGAGGCAGCAAACACAATGTGTCGGGTTGTCTGGCCGCTCGCGAAACAGAAAGCCTGTATGGATGGGTCGATGTACTTACGGGAATCTGCAATGGAAATTAGTGCCTGGTTCGCTATATGTCTCTTTTTTTTTACTGAGAACGCATTGCGATAGAGAATATGGGAAGCGGCTCCCCTGACGTGCGGCTCCTGCCGTTGTGGCGCTGCCATGTGGGCCTGTTCCCCGATGGGTCCATCAGTCAGTGGTCGAACGGCACCCTGCCGAACGGCAGAGGATCCTCGTCCGAGAATATGAGGGTGGACAAAAGCAGATTGATCTAGTAAATGATTTTCTTCCCCAACTAATCTAAACCAGCACTAATTCTAGGATGAATGCAACCAAAAATTGAACTACGCAAATTGCAAAAATTGCTAAAGCCTAAAAAGATAGGTGCGGCGGATGAACTAATTTAATCTTTTTTGGCTTTTTCGTGGGTTTATAGGACGGAAAAATAAACTAATCTACTAAAACTGTAAATCTCTCACCGATAAACCCGAAAACTGATACCACTTGATGTGACGGCGGCCCGATCTTTCGATGAGAGTGGGGATAACTATCAATTTGATGGATTTTGACGTTGACGATCCAGCTATACCGTACCCGACGAAACGCCTCGACAATCGCTAAACCAATCTCCGATAGTTATTGAGATTGTCGTAGGCACGATCAACCTGAATAACGAGGTTCGAGTTCCAGCAAGCAACCGAAGAACCAACAAGAATAAAGGTGAATTGTAATCTGAAATTGCGGATGAAAAATTAAGCACATAAACTAGATCAAAATTAAGCACACGAACTAGATCAAAAGTTAGGGTTTCACTACGGATCTGACAAGACGGTAGTTTCACACATCTCGTAGATGCGAAATTATAGCGATGGCTAAACAATACAATAAAACTCGAGTCTAAACGTAATACAAGCTAACTATTTATTAGGTGCGTCCACCGCCTGCGCGTGGATGAATCCTGGTCGGCTACGACTCGAAGGAGATCATAATCATGAGCCGACCCACATGTAGATGATTTCCTTGTTTAACTGTTGGTGGTGTGGGCTGCATGCGAACGTGGCCGTCTCTGGTCCAGGAGGCCTAATACTCTTCCTCCTCCTGTTGCACTTGAGCACGTAGGTGGCTAGATAGCTTCTTGCATGTCAATAGTGTTGCTGCTTGTGGAATCAACATGCAACATTTTCCATCTTTCATTTGCATGCGGCTTTCCCTCGTCATCTCTTCAACACCTTCGTTCCTAAGTACAAGTAAATCCGAACATGAGTGTAATATCACATTCTCGTTAGTTAAATCATATGTACAGAGAAGTGATAGTATCTTGCCATTTATCTGTCTCGCGCGTGCTCTAGTCATAGGTCTAGATGAAATAACTGATGTAGGAATCACGGTGGGTGCAACTGTGGCAGAGATGTCCTTATCAGAATGCATTTCCTCCGCCGTGCGGGGTGTTGGTGCTTCGCCGCGCTATGGCCACGATGACGAGGTGTTGCGGCGGCAGCTATGTGACACTACATGCACAATATGGCCGCAATCCAATGGGATGGGGGAAGATCTACGACGTTACGGATGAAAATCGTGCACATCTTCGATTGGTGTTGGCGGCGACGGCGCCCGTTGGTATCGTCTCCCTCCTTGGAGACGTCTTTAGGGTGTGTCGCCATCACTCCTCTCAGCGAATTGTTGTCTCCGAGTGAAAGCCTAGGTTCGTTGCCGGACCGGCGATGGCGGCGTTACTCTGTTGGGAGCATCGTCTATGAAGACATGACTTGGAGGTTCTTTGCACTGGTTCTCCGGTGCTTGTCGCTGGTTTGAGTTGATCTTCATGGGCGCTTAAGCAACAGCCAGTGAGTCCAAGACGATGGCTTTCTCGGGTCCGGCTGAATGCCACTACCCACTCGTAGTCTCCTCTTAGGCATTAAAGGGTGGTTGGTGCGCAGACAAGGAAAAAGCTCCGTTGAAATTGTTGCTCTTCGAAGTGTCTGGTGCATGTCAAGATGTGGCTTGACGATCTGTTTAGGGCATGCCCCTTTGTGTTGTGTTTGTATTAGTTGCGGTGACTAATCGTTTGATTAGCTTGGGTGTAGATTTTCAACTACACTTGTTATTCGTAACAAGTTGTATTTTTTTATACTTGTCTTCTGCCTTCTATTAAAATATGATACGTTTAGGCGTACTCTAAAGAAAACTATATACGCATTTTAATGAAGAACTGATATTCGTGGTCCTCTACGAAAAAGGCAAAATCAGTGATCCACCGATTCATCTGGGTACATATGAGATCAAGCTACATTTTTTTAAGCCGGTCCCAAGGGTCTAGAATTCATCAAGCAAGAAGAGAGATGCCCGACTAACTAATGGAAAATAGGGCAAATCTGTTACATTATGCCTGCAAAAACAAGGCATACGGGGTAACCTGGCAATCCATACAAGAATGCACACACACCATCGAGGAGACAAATGCCGGCGAGGTTGCATTTCAGTGTCGTCGTTATTACTCCTTCGTGAGGACGACTCCGACTCAACCATCAATGACCACCGATGTAGCCCCCACCTCAAACAAGCACAGACGCCTGGGCGGCCGATGCCAAACAGTCAATCGCACGCGCCGATGAACAGACAACTCCAACTCTGTCGATGAGCATTGCAGGGGAAAAGCGTTGAGCCTACGCCGAGCCGGCATGGGAACCGACCACCCGTCTCATGTTATCATCACCGTGGGGCACCGTCTTTGTAGCTCTGACTTCAGGAAGACAAATGATGCACGGCGACCCCTCGAACACATCCGATGAGACCGACCACCAAAGCTCGATTACAGCCCAATTCCGCCCGAAGTCGCCATCATTGCCAGACAAGAAGTCACACAACATACGAACACTTGTCAGCCACAATGCCGCAAGCGTCCAGCCATGAAGCGCACAAACAGGATCCAATGCTCTTCAAGGCGACCCCCGAAAGCAACGACGCTGACACTGACGCCTAAGCATGACCAGCACACCGTTCTAGCGGCCATAGCAGCTACCGTCGCCGCGAAAAACGAAACCACCGCCTCGGGACCCACGATCCACCAAGCCCTAAGCTACCGTCAGAGGTCCCCCATCCCCTTGAGGAACTGGGGCCGCCACCACCGCAGCAAAGGCCGCTAGCAGCGATGGGAGGGGAGCAGTTGATGGATGGGCCTGGCGACACTAGGTTTTGGGGCCCCTGGGTCTCCTAGAAGAGATGACGCGAGCGAGAGGTAGATGAGGTTTCTACTTTGGTTTTTTCAGAAACGTTTCTAATGGGAGCAACTAGTTGACAAATGCTCCTTCGGAGCCTCACAACGATTAGCGTCACTTGGGGCGCTCTCAGCCGCCCGCCACGTGTCGCGCTCTGGGCGCTTCATTCGGATATTTTTTTGCACGCGTTTTCGACTTATTAAACGGTTTTTTCTGGATTTTTTTGATGTTTTGATTTTCAACCGGTCTTCCTTAGCTTTTGGGACAAAAAATTTTGAGAAATAAAATTTATTTTGCGCGAAATAACATGTTTTTTTTTTCACCAGAGGCACGATTTTGCTTCTGCGAGGGGCACGTTTTTGCTTTTGAGAGAAGCACAACCATGCCTCTCAAAAACGAAAAAAACATGTTTTTTTCTTCTATCATAGGAACGGTTTTGCTTCCGCGAGAGACACGGTTTTGCTTTCGCGAGAGGCACGAATGAGCCTTTCAAAAATGAAAAAAAAAAGCGTGTTTTCTGGGTTTTTTCATCCTGAGAAGCACGATTTTGTTTCCCTGATAGGCACAGTTTTGCTTTCGCGAGAGGCACACTCTCGAAAACGAAAAAAACATGTTTTCTGCTTTCTTTTCCTTCCGCGAGAGGCACGATTTTACTTCAGCAAGAGGCATAGTTGTGCTTTCGCGAACTGTGCCTCTCAAAAACAAAAAAAAACATGTTTTTTATTTTATTTTTTTCTTTCGTGAGAGACACGGTTGTGATTTCACGAGACGCACGGCCATGCCTGTTTCATAAAGGAAAAAAGTATGCTCCCGGTTCAATTTTTTTGTCCGGTTTTTACTACTGATTTTTTTTCTTGAAAATGAAAGCACATTAAAACCTACCAACATGGGTTATAGCTTTGAAACACTCGACGCGAGGAATCCAACTATGAAAGCGGTGCGAGATTTGAACGTACGGTTTAATAGATAAAATGTTTGAATAAACAAATCTAGAAGAAAGAGAAAACTCACAGGTTGCAATCAATTAGTGATTTCGGTTTCTAGTTTGTTATGTTGGGATTTTTATCATGCTCCATTTTGAATATCCGGGTCACTAAGCATTACGTGGAACATGATGAGCCCAAATACAGAACTACCATAAACTGCATACGATTCCAGTTCATCAATAGCTCGTGTACCTCGACAAAAGCACCCAAAACAGATAAATAATTGATAGCTACACAACCTCTACTTACATAAGAGGAAGTCACAAATACAAGAACAATGATCAAACCAGGGGAAATATCACATTAATTTACTGGCAGAGATTGGTCTAGATATTACAACGGGGATACTTTGCAAGTGCCTACTTCTGCGAGTCAGAAGATTCCTCCTTTTTTGTCTGCGACTCGGAGGGTTCCTCCTCAAGTGCCTTCTGGATGTCTTTCTGCAAATTTGAGACCAATGCGTAAGAAAATACTGCGTGATGAGAGAGAGAGAGAGAGAGAGAGAGAGAGAGAGAGAGAGAGAGAGAGAGACCTCGAATGAAAATGGAGTGGTAGCAGTTGCGTATCTGTTGATTACTTTCCCATTCTTGTCAACAAGAAACTTGGTAAAGTTCCACTTGATTCTTGAACCAAACAAACCAGGTTTGCTAGCTTTCAAAAACTTATAAAGCGGCGCAGCATCTGGGCCATTTACACGCACCTGCAATTTTCAAGTACAAGATTGACCCAGCTTTACAGATAAACAACAGTCCTGTAATTTGTAATTTGTACCCATGTTTATGTGATGGCCATCAACAGTAGAACATACCAAGAAACTCTGACCTCACCTAATGTATCCAAACTTAAATTGTTGCAAAGAAAAGAAAGTGTATACTTGTATGGAAGCAACAAAACAGGGCGTGTTTGGTAGCCCACATAAAGGCCAACCAGGTCCGCTCAGGAAAAACATAGGTTGTTTGGTTGCCTGCCTTCACAGTTGGGCCTGCATGGAGGAGGATCGATTTGCCTGGCCACACGATCGCTCGGGTGCATACACGGCGAAATCCACTTACACCCAGCTGTGTCAGGGTGGGTTGCGTTCCCCTACGGCAATTGGGACCTGGCGCAGCTGGGCGCCGCTCAAGTGCAAAATTTTCGCTTGGTTGGCTGTGCAGCACAGATTGTGGACGTCGGATAGAAGGGCGCGGCACGGCCTGCAGGACACACCCTCGCCTTGCTACACGTGCCTGCAGGACGAGGATAACGCGGAGCATATTCTGGTGCAATGCGTCTACGCGCATGAGGTTTGGCATATGTGCCTGGATTCAATGCACTTGAGTGTGGAGGCTCCTCTAGTGAGTGACACTTTCGCTGAATGGTGGTTGAGAGCTAGAGCCACTTTTCATGGCAAGGAGAGGAGGGGTTTCGATACATTCGTCATCGAGACAGCGTGGTCTCTTTGGAAACAGAGGAACGCACGGGTCTTCCGTCGACCGGAGCAAGTTAAGGGACCTAGAGAACTAGCTAGTTGGATTATCGATGAGTTACAAGAGCTGATTCGAGCAGGTGTAGGAGTCGGAGGTCTAGATAGATTTGTGAGGAGTTGACCTCAGCCCAGTGTTCGGTGTGGTGTTGCCAGTGACGGATGTTCGCATATCGCAGGTGTCTTGTAATTATATATTCTCTCTTCTATAAAAATATGGTACGCCATTGGCGTACTCTCGAAAAAAAACAGTTGGGCCTGCATAGCACGAAACTTAAAGCAGCTCCCAGCCAGTTCCGTGCTGAATCGGCTGTTTCCAACCAGCCAAGCTGAGTTGAGCCACATCGAGCACATGCTGGGCCCCTTTGCATGAGGGTATACGAGTACGATGCTAGCTAGTATACAGCCTGTACTTGCTATCTTTTCCCACCTCCGGTAAGCTCCTCTCGGCCTCCTCTCCTGCGTCCTACTACATTGGCACCACTGCCCACGTTATTCCTCTCGACCTCTCCAGCGTCTTGCTGCACTGTCACCACCACCAGCATGGTTCCTCTCGGCCTTCTCGCCCACATCATACAACACTGACGCCATTATCGGCGTTGTTCCTCTCGGCCTCCTCGCAGTGTCCTACTAAACTGGTGCCGTCCCCGGCGTCGTTCCTTTCGGCCTCCTCTCCCTCGTCCTACTACACTGATGCTGCCATGGCGTGCACACTGCAATTTTTCTCCTCTGTCATCTGCCGCAGCGCCCTTCTGCCAAAATTGATCCCCTAATACAGGAAGCCTAGAAGCCTAGATGCGGACAGCCAAACGATGTGCAGATATTGGTTTATTTTTGCCAGTTTTTGCTCAGCCAGACTCAACTGGGCCAAGCATGCAATGCAGGCAAATTCGCAGATGACAACCAAACACGCCCACAGTGCATATCTATGTTGACATTTGGCCAAGCATGCAATGCAGGCAAATTCGCAGATGACAACCAAACATGCCCACAGTGCATATCTATGTTGACATTTGTTTCTACCACGTAAACTCGTGTCAAACTTGCGATATGTTTTAAAACATAAGGCATGATATTTTCCCTCCAATGCTGTTTTGATTTTATCGTCTAGAAACCATGATGAACAAGAAATAGCCAATGCTCTAGCTATGAAGAGAAAGTGACTTCAACTAAGCTTCATTAGTGGGAAAATATTAGACGCTTCTTGACAAACAGTTCGGGTATGGTCTTACCTTCTGAAAAACTGGATATTCAGCTTTGAATCTTGTGCATGCAAAGTCTTGGATCTGCTGGTCACTGCCTGGCTCTTGTCGCAAAAACTGGTTGCAGGGGAATGCTAATATCTCAAAGTCTGGCCATTTTAGAAGCAAGAGGAGTTAGTTTTCACCCTACCTAACATCTAAATCATTATATAATTTAGCATCAAAGAGGCAATCTATGGGTTACTTGCATACTGATATCACGCATAATAAGATTTTATGACAGTGCATAAATGAGCTTACTACTGCTGAACGCATGATTAACAATCTGTCATTATAATTTTCTTCTAATCCAATGTCCATTAAGTTCTAGAAGATTTATTTTTCCATAAAGTGTCCACACTTACTTATATCTCACAACAAATGGTTGGCACGCTAAATCCTTCAAGAACTGAAGCTAGTACAATGGCAGAAATTCATAATATTTCATAGATAAAAAGATGAGAGGTCCCATTAGGCAATGTGCAATGCGCCAATGCCATAGAAAAAATATGGTTGTTGACCAGTGTTGCGAAAATCTCATGGCAATATTCATTATTTGGGGATTTAGGTACGGGATTTCATACATTGGAGGTTTAACCTAGGTTCAGGCCCCTTGTTCTAGGGGTAACACCCTAATCCAGCTTGGATGTTTTCTCTCTTGTATGAGCCGAATGATCAAAGAAGATTTGTCTAGCCTGTATGCTTGAGTGAACCTATCTATGTCTCGCACCCTTCTCACCTTATATACTACGCAGAAGGTGGAGATACAAGGGTTGTTAAGAGCCATGATGTAATAACAGCCATAACGGTGGTTGTTACTGGTGGAATTACCACGTCGCCAAAAGAGCCATCTTGACGGTGCCGCGAGTAACGTTCGTCTTGATTGACTGTGTCTTGGTCCAGTAAAATGAACATTGCAGTGCCTTAGCCGGACGGGCTTCGTGACATTCAATAGGATGAGCTTTATCCATGCCGGACCAGCTGAGTGATTCTCCTGATGAAGACTGCCCTGCTGGGTCGAATCCTTGTCATGGGCCTACCCTGAGGGTTCCATGGATTTCGAGTCGCTCGACTAGTCGCGACTAGTCGACGACTAGTCTATGAATCGCAAAAATATGGTTGACTCAGCTTAGTGTCGACTCGCGAATCTGAGTCGCGACTAGTCACAACACAGGCTCGACTTCTTCCGAGTCGCTGCTCCAGAGCGACTCGCATGAGTCGCGACTCGAAAACCATGGAGGGTTCCCGCCATTAGTAGCCACCAAGTCCTTCAAGGTATCGAGGATGGCGCCGACTCCTCGGAAGAGGAAGGTTCCTGTGGGGAAACCGACTGTGATCATCATCGAGTCACCCGAAGAGGTTAGAGGCTGGCAGTTTATAACAGACTTAGTGATACCCAATACACTCAGCAGCGAGCTTGGCTTGTGGCCGTTTGGCTTGTGGCTTGTTAGGAAGCATATGATAAATTCTGAGTGATCTCGAGGAACGCACGGGTTTATCCAAGTGGGTCATTGCCAGCTTTGGACCTGAGGAGGCGCATTCCTTCTATTTTCGTCTTCAAAAATTAAGTCAACGGACTCGGGCATTTGGTTAGGAAACCAACATGTGCCATTGAGGATGTCAAGTCCGTACTTCGCATTGGCATTGCCAAGTGATCTGGAACTCGCAGGAGTCGGTCCATCAACGCCTTTTCCTCGAGGGCGGCGATTGCCCAATTGAATGGTTCAGCGTGGAGCCAAATGATGTTGTTGAACGGCGTGGAGGGTAGTGGATCCCGGCCTGGTTCGTCAATTGCGTGTCACGCCGCCTGGTCTAGTCAAGCTTTTAGTCCACGCAACTTTCAGACTGCGTGACCGTTCACGGTCGTCAGATGGAGTCTTGACCGTAGTGTCCGTGTCCCATCGACTGCGCGCATTAGTGCGAGCCATCAAGTGGGTCGCTCCCAGAGGTGTTGTCCCGGGGTGAACGCTTCGGATTCCGCGCAAGGCATGCACGGTGTGAACTGCTGCCGCTGTTGTCACTGAAGCTGCTGCTGCTGCTGCGAAGAATGGTTGTCGCCTCTTCTCTGCCAGCCGGCTAGCAGGCTGGCAAAGGGGTGAATGGACAACATCATCGGCAGATGAGGAGTGATTGGTGCGGTATGCTTCCATCGGGATGATGGCCCCAAAGGATCAGTGTCAGTAGGGGAAGCCCTGCAAGGAGGTGGCACCAGATGCACAGGCAGACAAGCGCGTGCATCGCACGCGTACATCACACGCTCTTCTTTTATGGCATTCAACTGCATCATCTGAACCCAAATGGGATATTGCAAATTGCTTGTTTTATCACCTTGTGTGAGTGCTTCCTGGGCACCAAACCTCGCTGGGCTTTATGGAAGCGAATCTTCGTGGCAGAACCCCGGACTGTGAAGGCAGGTGGACCGATGTCTTCTTACGGTGGTGTTGGAATCCGACTTGTGTAGGGAAAGATATGTTTGGATTCCTTGAAACTCATAAACTATAGCAATCCAATTAGTTCTATATCCAAGATATCCCCACACTGCCTGGCAATGAGGGTCTTCCTCCATACGCCGATGGTCCTCCAACAGACTCGGATGGATGGAAACCTCAACTCATTGAGAAGGGGGCGAAGGAATCCAATCTCTTAACGGGGAGACTGCAGGTCGTCAAGGATCTGGGGCTCACTGGACCCGATCTGATCGCCACTTGGGTAAATCGATGTATCCAACCACTTGAGGCGAAAGCGCGCCCCAAGTGGTGTTATTCGGGTGCTGATGATCCTACCCAAGTCTCTCCCAAGGAATACATGGACGCCGACTACAGTAACTGGATGGATAATTTGACCAAATGGAAGTTCCGCCACGAGGTGCTTGTGCCTGCATTCGGTGCCGACAATCAGCCTCCCACTGTAAGTTGTTGCAGACTCTTGAGTAACGTACTATTCTTGCCACTGCTCCGTGTTTGACCCATATCTTTGTTTTTTCATGATTTTTTGGAATTTCATTATATGGCGCCTCTCCCTGAAGATGGTCCGGACGGTCCGGATGCGCATGTTCCTCTGTAAAAATGCAGTCCTTTTCCGTACACGGGCCAACCACCAACTGTTGCTCTTGCCAACCGGACAGTCGGGTTGCGACTATAGTTGGGACAAAGAGTGGGCCTTTTATATGGCATGCAGTTACTTGACTTATGCAAAGAATAAATTCAGGAGAATCGAGTAGCATGCTGACTAGCGACACAACCAGTGGGTAGAGCACCCGATGGGATGTGGTGATAGCCCTTGGGCATGGCCCGGAGTCGAACCAAACTTAGATCATAAGGAATGTAAAGATTCGGTTTTTCAGAGTGAATGACGCAGCCCCTGAGCGATAGCCGAAGGGGTCAGTTTTTATTCCAATGATCTTAACTTGAAAGAGTATTGAAAGATACAAAGCTTAAACAAAAAAGGGAAGTAGTTGGGCAATGTTCCATGTCCTCTCGGTTTCTTCGCCTTCTCGATCAGCCTGTACATGCCATTGTGTAGCACTTGGCTGACAAAGAAGGGTCCTTCCCATGGCGGAGGGAGCTTGTGCATTCCCTCCTTGTTCTGGATCAGCCGGAGAACTAGATCACCCTCATTGAACGCTCGACCTCGTACTCGGCAGCTATGATAGCGGCGCGAGTTTTGTTGGTATATGGCCTAGTGAGAGTGAGCGAGTTCTCAGGCATCCTCCAAAAGGTCGACGGCATCTTGGCGCGCAGACTCGGAATCCACCTCCACATACGCCACGACTCGAGGGGGGTCACGAATGATGTCGGCATGGTGGCTTCTGCTCCATAGACCATAAAGAACAGCGTGCAGCCAGTTGATCTGTTTGGAGTCGTCCATAAGCTCCATAGGAAAGGCGGTAGCTCGTCAAGCCAGCAGCTAAGAGTCTCTTTCAAGAGTCTTAGCAGCCGGGGCTTGATACCTTGAAGGATGAGACCATTGGAGAGCTCCACTTGTCCATTGCACTGGGAGTGCGCTACTGAGACATAATCCAGTCGGAGACCGTGACGTCGCAAAAGCAGCGAAAACGCCTGAAAGTAAAGTTCTTCCCATTGTCGGTGATGATGATGTGCGAGATGCCGAACAGATAGATGAGGCCTTTGATAATGCTGACAGCTGTCTGGCCATCTTGCTTGATGATAGGTTTGACTTCGATCCACTTCGTGAACTTGTCCACCGCGACAAGCAAATGAGTGAATCCACCTTTGGCAGTATTGTGCGGGCCCACCATATCAAGTCATCACACAGCATGGCCATGTGATAGGGATGGTTTCGAGGGATGTACCCAGCATGTGTGGCTCACATGCATACCTCTGGCAGTTTTGGCACTTGCAGACGAGATCTTCTACGTCAGCCAAAGTGGTAAGCCCGAAGAATCCATGCTTAAATGCTTTGGCGACAAGGGCGCACGATGACACATGATGACTGCAGGTTCGAGAGTGAATTTCCTCAAGAATTTATCGCCCTTCCTTTGGAGACATGCAACATTGGAAGACTCCAATGATGTTGCCGTTGTAAAGCTCGCCATTGATGATGGTGCATGCCTCGGCATGGGGGATGATTTGCCGAACTATGTCTCATCAGCCGACAGCTCCCTTCGGATTATGTAATCCAAGTACGGTTGTATCCAAGCTGGAATGATGGGGAGGTCGGCCTTAGCGTCTGGCTGAATGGGTTCTTGTTCGAGCTCGGCCTTCGTCTTTGTTTTGATGGATGGTTTACATAGTTGCTCCAGAAAAACACCAGAAGGAATGGGCTCTATGGTGGAGCAAATCTTCCGAGTGTATCAGCTGATTCGTTCTACTTCTGACTAACATGATGAAGCTCCAAGCCCTCGAACTTTTTTCGAGCTTGCGACTTCCTCTCGATATACGATCATGGAAGGATCCTTGGCATCACCATCCTTCATGACTTGTTGTACCACAAGATCTGAATCTCCGCTGCAAAGCAGCCCACGGAAGCCAAATGATACAACAATCCACAAGCCATGCAACAAGGCTTCATACTCCACAACGTTGTTAGATGCAACAAAGTGAATATGCAGTACATATCTGAGCTTGTCGCTTTCGAGAAAAATAAGGAT